GATCAACTCGGGCGATCAGAAACCCAGATCATTTTTTTTTCGATCAAAAAAGGCGCAAAAATGACACATAAGAAGCCGGATGTGACACCTAGATCATTATTGATCAAAAATAATCTGGCGAAAATGACACATAATAAGTACATTGTAGCCTCAACAACAATTATTTTTTTTAGTTTCATTTTATTTTCAGGTCTGGACCATCGACGAATCAAAAAAAAAAAAAATCGAAGTCACCAAGACTGACCTTCTTCGTGGCGAGAAACATCTCCGCCACGAGGTGCTTCATGCGCTCAGGAGGAAGTGGCGGGTACGGCGTGTTCTCGGCAGTCTCGAACCCGATCGTCTGCCTCCACATATCCGACGCTGAAAAGAAGTTGAAGGCCAAAAACCTCTCCACGAGCCATTTCGTGCACAAAAGCTCGCGAACTCTGCGAAGGAAGGACACAAAAACAAAGAACAGGCATCGCGGCAACACGCAACACAGCGAGAGGGCGTGAGCTGACAAAATGAGAGCAGCGCGTACAACACAGCATGGGATTGAGGGAGATTCGTGCATGAAACAAGACCAACAAATAGCAGCCTCTTTGATCTGGATCAGTGCATGAAACAACAACAAGACTACTGCTGTGGCAGCACAACAGACACACAAACACAGCAGCGTTGCTTCGCAACCCTCTCTTGCGCGCACACACACCTGTTCTTTCCGAGTTGCGAGTTTTTGCTCAAGGTCAAGCTCCTGCCGATGCTTTGTTGCGTGCTCTGTCGCCTGGCCTGCTTCGTCACTCCTCCTTTCCCCTGCATGCCGTGCACACTCTTGAGGTGCGAGTTGACGTTGCTGCGGTCTCCCCGACGGCAGGGAATCACCTTCTTCTTCCTGCGGCAGTCGGGCCCGGCAAGGCAGAAGAACTTGTGCTGGTCGCCTCCGATCTGCTCCACGTATACTCCAAGCGAGTACATAAACGAGTCCTGGCGACAGCCCTTTTTCACAAAACCAGACGGCGCTTGGAAATTGTCTACAGCGGCAACGGTGGCGGCAGCGATCTGTGCTTTGTGCCCCGCACTGGTGTAGACGTCCGCCGGGTGTTTCACCGGCACGCCTTCGCCGCCGCTGCTGCTGCTTGCGATAGTGGTGTCATTCGAGCTTTCCTGCACGCCGCTGTCTCCAACTTGACCCCCCGCCGCGGGCGCGCCCTCGGCTGTTTCTGTTTCACCCTCGCCTCCTCCACCCCCAACTGCTGTACTTTGCGCCGGGGAGACGCTGCTGCTGAGGTCTGCACTCTCGCTCATGTTCCTCTCAAGCTATGTGACCGAAAGGAGTTCTGTGGAGGTACCTAGTTCTAGTTCTGTGATCGCCTTCAAGCTTTTTGTGGCTGTGGGGCAGGTGGGGTCTTCGGCGCAATCCTGACGTCATACCTCCGAGGGTACTACTGTACAGAACTTTTCGGTAGGGTACTGGGAGAGTTACAGAACTGTTTATCGGTAGGGTACGGGGAGAGTACCGAACGTTTTTTACAATCTCTGTATGTACTACTCTCCCTTCTTCCCTTCGCTCCTCGACAAGCTTTTGCTTAGACATGGGTTGTAGTGAAGGGGGGGGTCTTTCTGGCGAGCAGGGCTAGACTCACCCTCAAGGGATGACCGAAACCTTCTTGCTGCTGCGCATATCCGCCGCGAGGCATGCGCGTGGTGGTGTAGTTGGGTCGGCACTGATGGGGTCAGGCGAAAAAATGTAGATGCGCGGGCCTCTGGCCGTCGGCGTAGGCAGCGATGCCCATCTCATTTTTTGTGCGCGGAGGCAGACACCGTCAGAAGGTGGACGGGAACTATGTACACGGCCCTAG